TTCTATATAGTTGTGGCATAAAATCTATGTATGCTGTACTCTTAAGTGAATCCCAATGCCCATACTTCGTAGCCGTGGGGCCTAAACGTAGAACGGGGTTGCAAGGAAGGAGGCTTCCAATGAAAATGTACTCAATCGAGTTATCGCTCTGGCCCTGTACAGTCACCACTGATGGTTGATTGGTCCCATACCCTTATAGGTGTTGCTTGTTTTGTTCCGATCTATATTTCTCACGGTGGACTCCAGTAAGAGCTTGAAAGCTATTTGAATATACGCATGATTCCAGCGAGTGAACAATATTCGTTTTGTTTATTTATCCACAAATACGGTCATAAAAATTCCAAAATATATCTGTATTTTCTCGGCCAGAAACGGGCGACAGGCAATTTATTTACAGCCGAGTGTCCTTAGGGACGAGGGAGCCTCGTGCTATTGCAAAGCCCTTTTAGAAATAGTGCGAAAGGCGTTCATCTTTAAACGTGGAAGACATCGTCACCTAAAGAGCCATTTATAGCACATAGAAGCTAAGCAACGCAGAGGAGTATCATTTGTGGCAGGCTTATGAGGTCATGCAACTTCAGCAAATCAGTGAACTCCTGGAGGCTCTGTACACAATGAGTTGGTAAGAGTAGGTTTGGTTTGAGTATTTACGAAGGATCCCAGTGAACAGTGAACGCGTTTTGGAGCAAACTCATATATGTCTGGCGCATACTGGAATCGCAAGGTATAACTAAAAGGAACCGAAATGCTTTGCAGATTGCCCATTATGTTCTTCGCTGATGTTCCGACTTTGCTATTATAGCTTTGCTTAACACGGGACACCATCATCATGTCGTTCGTTTGGTGAACCATTCCCTTAACTACTGCTTTTGTTAATATGTTTGCTCAATAGCTTTGTTATTATACCAGCGAAGGCTTTTCATTTTTAAAGCAACATAAAAATGTCCCAATTCACAGTGAAAACACGGACTAATGTTACAAAATGCACATAGTTCTTTTTTTTAAAAAAAATAATAGGTTGTCCTACGAGTCCACCAGGCAGATCGTACAACGAAGGCCGTCTTCATTAATCAAAACACCGATGCCAGTGAGGTGATGCTCACGTTGGCGGCCAAAAATTTTCTCCCGGTCTCAACTAAGTTCGCCATTGTTGAGAAGGTTCCCTCAATGAAGCTGGGTAAGGATCCTCCTTTTAAACTGCCTTATCTTCAACTATAGTCCATCTGGACCACCTTGCGCTTTTCTGCAAAAGTTAGAGTTGTCAGTGTTTACTGTATAAAGTGGACTGCTGCCTATAAGAAGAAAATTTCTGCGTCCATCTGCTTGATTTAAGACATTAAAAGGCAGCACTCATCTCCATTTACTGTCCATTTCTGCCAAATGTATGAGTGTTCTGCGAGTCAGACGACAATTTAAGTGGTTCATATACATAGAAATTTCAAGTTGAATATAAAGAGTAAGCAAAGAAGTTGGAGTAAGTAAAGAAAAGGTGAGTGGAATGCTAAGCGTTCAATAGGAACAAAAACAATGTTGCCGATAAATGGTTGGACAACTCAACTAAATGCATACAGGAAGGCAGCATTCTCACCGACATGCAATTTCCTGATAAAACTACATGCGGAGTAAATCGTTGAGCATAAACCTGATCTGAAAAAAATTCCATCCTGACAGATGTAATGATAACGGATGCTGATGTTCCTACGCACATAATTGTAGTTTCCAAAAAATCATGCATGCGTAAAAACGGACATGCCGCCTACTGAATAAAGCTAATTCATTCAAAATTCTTCTTCTGAAACGATTGCATTTCCTAAAATGAATGAGGCTTGTGGTTTGCAAATACCCACATTTTTAACTATGTTGATTTGGTGTCAAGTAAAAACAAATTCAGGTGCCTTTGTGCATTAAGAGGCTATTTGTCATATTCGCACATTTCCGAAAAGGTTATTTCCTCGACAAAACTAAACACTGAGACTTGGGGAGAAAGCAAAAATTAAACGTAGCTTTGATAATACGATGCCTTGAGTGTGTAATTTGAACTGAAGTTCAGAATGTTTAGAATCAAACGGATTGAAATGAAATGAAATAATTAATATTAAAGTTAATAAATGTTAATTAATGTTAAAATATTCTTCAAAATATGCTTCTATGCTAAGTATGTGCACACTTGTTCAATAGAACAACAATCTACCAAGTATATCAAAGGTTAGGAGAGCCCTGCGAAGTTCGACATCAAAACGAAGGGACCTCCACAACCAGACCCCGATCAACTTGCTTACTGCTGTCTACCAGCCGTAAGCAAAACCTTAATGTAAAAGACCAGAGGTAGAATGTCAGCTGGGTCGATAACAGCGGATAACTGCTAGTCACTGCTTTTTCGGGGCTCAAGAGTATTCCCGAAAACACAGCAGGATGAGTGATTTCTGCTAGCGAGCAGGCAATGTTCATCAACGAGTAATCAGCTGATTTGTTCGGATATTCTATGTACCGACACGGAGGTCCTGGTCCTCAGGCATCTTTTTCAGCACAAAAACACTGAAAAACAGCTGACTTATTCAGTATCTCATTATGTAAGTCGGTGACAGTCTTCGACTGAGGTTTTCGTGCAGCTTCATCAGCACGTGACGGCAAATCGCAGACCTCACACATACACCTCTTTCTGAGGTACTTTGAATAAATCAACTAAATATGCATGTCTCGTAAAACCGCCGAGACGCCTCTATACTAGCACAAATAGCTCTGGAAGGCGCATCGATTACGCAACTCCTTAATTGCCTTAAAAATCCAGTGGGTCTGTTAATTTTAGGCATTTGATAGAAAAATGCACTTCGACGTTGGTGCATAACTAAGTACTTGCGGAAAGGGCGAAGTATCATTTAAAAGCAAACCTTCAGAGTTGGGCGCGACCGCCTTTTATGATCTTTTGCATTTCACTATCGAGTTCTCGCGTGTGCTCGTCTTGGGACGAACGGTCAACTTTAAATATTTAGATTAACAAATGTTTAATCAAACCGTATAATCAAAAAGCCGAAATGGAAGCGGACATGAGCAGATTGGTGAGGACGCCTGATTGATCGATAGTTATCTTTAAAAGGCATTTGGTAGCTTTTCCTTACAAGGTAAGATTTCGTTAGGCTTCGGGGTCGCCAACTAATATTTGGCTTCCAGGTCCTTCTGGCCAGGGGACAGTAGATGACTGAAGCAAAATAACCAAAGTGTCAGCACCAAAGACGAACAAAAACAAGAAGTAGAAAACAACCTCTTTGCTTAATTTTGTGTAATTAATACTAAAACTTGCTGTCCCGCATTGGTTGATTCCATGTGAGCGGCAAAGTTGGGCGGG